TAGTCAACCAAAGAGCACAATTGACATACAATTTTCTTTGAGCTACCAAGTAGCTCAAAAATTATAGGTGCCAAGTAGGTCTATATTAATTTAGTCTATCGCAAACTGTATAACTTTTTGGTATCACACGCCGCCAATGCAACAAAAGCAAATGCAGATTTAGCCAGGTCAAAAGCAGATTGAACGGCCCATCGCCGTCGTCAGCTCTCTACATATTTTAGTGCTTCTCCCTCTCCTCAGGTCCCTCGGCATTAGGTTCAGCACGAGAAGGCGGTATCGATGATTCAGCTAATGCCGACGCAGAATGACGCTTCTCGGCCTGGTGGTATGTCTGATGGTCGACAGACTCCTCAGGATATTCAGAAGCAGAAGTAGCCGCCTCGGCATCTCTTTCTTCTTGGGCTTTCCGCTTTTCCTCTTCAATCTCTTCCGGCTCCTTTGGTCGCTCCAGACCTCTATCACGCACGAACATACATGCCAGGAAACACACACTGATGATGGGGACCTGCACAATGAATACTGTGTGGGAAGCCTTGCTATAAGAAAGCAGGATTGAGGCCCATTCAGTTGCACTGAGATTCGCTCTTGAAGGAATCGAGTATGAAGAGTCTGCCAGGTACGCGAACTTGGTTGGTAGATTGGAGCGAAGAGCAGCCTGCAGAACTGCCGCAGAGATAGCGAGGCCACATGAGCCACCAAGGCAGCGGAAGAAGTTACGGTTTGCAATCACGACTGCTCTTTGGGACTTGGTGCAATGGGCTTGTAGGGCCACGAGGGTGGGTTGGAATGTGAATCCGATTCCGGCACCCATGACTGCCACAATGACTGCAATAACGGCGGGGTGGGTGTGGGGACCGAAGATTAACATGAGGCCCGACCCCCTATGAGAATGATAGTATTAGTATGGGATAAAAGTCGGAGGACTTGGGCATCGATCAACGTACAAGGTCCACAAGCCAAATCCAATCCAAATGATTTCGCCATAGCGCTGGACTCGGGTAATATACAACCCAGATATGATTGAGAAGCTTGACTGGAACACAACCATAGGACATGTCATGGCCGCAGAGGCAATTGGAGACCAGCCACGGGCATTCTGGTAGTACAATGGCAGGTAGTAAAGGCTTGACTGGTAAACTGCACCATACAAAAAGCTCTGCAAGAAGATTGCAGAGATGACCTTATTTCTGAAGAAGACGACTGGTTCATGTCAACTAAATGTTGTTTTACCACTATGGAGGATCAGAACATACCTGGTAACATCGGAAGTGTAGCCACTTTCCATTCAATGATCAAAAATGCAACGAGTGAAGAACCTCCAATAACGAGCATACTAATGACCATCGGTGAATCCCAAGGGAAGTAGGATCCACCTCCCGAGATAGGAATCAAGAGGAAAATGATACCAATAGACGATGCAAGCAGTCCGAACCAGTCAATGCGGTTAATATTTTCTCGGAAGCTATCTTTGCGTGCATTGTTCGGAATGAGGAAGTATCCAACGACTGCAGAGCAAGCAGCCAATGGAGAAATCAACCAGAAGAAACCGCGCCACGTTGAACGCATGGTGAATGCAGCACCCAGAAATGGTCCAATGATATTACCAAGACCCAGAGATGCACCCAGAATCCCCTGGTATTTGCCTCGCTTTTCCAAGGTCACGATATCAGAGACAATAATCATTGTCAAAGAGGTAACACCACCACCAGCGACACCAGCCAAGCCTCGAAAAACATAAAACATAGCTGGGTTCTGGGACAAGCCACAGAGTAGATCTGCAATACACAGCAAGATCAACGCAGAGATGTACATGATTTTCCGGCCAAAGATATCTGACAAACGGCCGTACAGCACCGTGAACATGGTATTTGCAATTAGCGATGAGGTTCCAGCCCAGGAGATGGTATTCTGAGCACCCAGCTCGCGTGAGATCGTTGGTAGTGTGACACTTATGCCATTCTGATCCACCATACAAATCAGCAAGGAAATTGCCAGACCCGTGAAAACAACCATGAGCTGAGTGAAGGGGAGAATATTTGTTTGGTCGTGAAGGGCCTTTTCGGCCTCTCGTTGTCGATTCATGGCTGCAGATGTGGCGGCGCGGAGCTCACTCAAAACGTGATTCTTCCTTGAATTGTTCTAGATTTTTCGTAAAGGGCCATGTGTGCCTCGTGGCGTAAAAGATCTTGCAACACAAAGTATATTAAGCTTGGGAGGGAATGCTTGGCGTGATACCAGATCATGGAATGTGGAGGGTCTCGATGTTATTTAAAGGAACGGCTATTATCCCACGGCAAAATTGTTCATATAAGAGTCATTCAATTGGTAAGAAAAGTTTTTCCCTGACAGGGTTTTAGTGCCTTTCGATCCATCGGCAACTGAGCGCTGGATGTCGATTGGAGCTTGAACGCCGCTGGCGGGTGTCATATCGGATTCAGGTCCGATGCAGGTAGAAACTCGTGTTCCAGGTTTACATTGTAGCCCAATATCGCACCGATGGATGGCGATCTAGACATTGTGGGCTCAATTCCGTGTTATCCTTTCAGTGCGGTTGGCAAAGAGCAGAGTCTGTGGATCCGCAGTGTCGGATAGCCGATCGGACGTCCGATGGCTCCAGGGCTGATGCTGATGTAATTGGCGGTCTGGGATTCCGAATCGGGCAACTTTGGCCTTTGCGGATATTTGTCCGAAGTACTATGTCTCCATTGTTGTTTTGCAGCTTGATCACTCGTTGTGAGGTCAATTTAGCCAATTTAGCCAATTGGGCTGCTATTATTTGAAGCCATATCTCCTAGACACAGACAGATGCAGGTTTGCGACTCGACAATGAAGGACACTTGATATACCTCTATCATCATCCCTACAAATTTCTTTAAGAGGTTCAATTCTACCAAGATCAACTTGCCTAGTCCTTTCTACCAATACGTGAAAGCAGATGGCGCGAGATTATCCAGCTCCGCATGAGGGAAGAAACATGTTTTAAGGAACAACGTATTTAATCAAATGAAAGGGTATAACAATATTATCCAGTTCCAGGTCATCTCGGATGTAACCTCCCCTACACAAGATGAACCGATGTAGAGTTATCGCGGTCAAAATCAAAACAGGGATCCCAGAAAAGACTCATCGAACTTGCTCTCTTCAGAACTGAGTTATATGTTGTCGTAATCTGGATTGGGCATCGAAAAATTAAAAATTGGCGGCTCATAAAGGGCGTAGAAAGTCAGAAACCGGGACTGTCAAGGCAACGACTACCATCCATTGTCGTGCATAGTAAGGCACAAAGTCAGCTAATGCTCGTGTTGGCTGGAGTTGCAGCGTGCAAGCACAAATTAGCACAGCCGCATATTCCAATATCAGTAACATGGTGGCCGACATCATCCTCTTTGCATGATATGTTAGGTATGGGCCGGTCCGATTTGAACGCCTAGGCCACCGCCAGGCCAGTTATTCTGGATGGTAGATGTGTTGGGGGGTATTAACATCGTAAGCGGGGTTTTCACCGACTGCATTGTTACTGCTACCAACACCATTCTGAGTAGGTCCGGTGTGTCTTGGAACATTGCCAGGGTTCGGTACAGCATGGTGGGTCATATAGCTGGCACTGGTGGCATTGCCCTGGTTTGGGAAAAAGCCCTGGTTCAGTGACCCGCAGGTTGTGCAGGCGAATTCAATCTTAAAATTGGCAAGGATCATCTGGGGGACGGCATTGTGATCACTGCGCCCGGTGTAGTCTTTCGGAGGTCCAACCACTCCTCCTGGTAAAGCAGTAGTCTGGTATTCGACTCCTGATTGTGGGATATTCATTGGGAGTTGGTTGTGGTTGAAAGAGGGTTGATTTGATGCGGGAACCGGTACGTGTTGCGCCTGGGGCCGAGGTGGCAGGGCTTGAGAACTAGATGGTGGGGCAGGTACATGGTTGTTTGAGGTCTCGTTTGGGGGCATGTTCCGATCATCCATCAGTGATGATGGGAGATGTTCTGGAAGCCACCGATTCTCGGGTATCTCCCCATATGCATGTGCCCCTTCTCCTTGCGACTCAGGGGATTCCTCAGACGACTGTTGTCCATCTGGACTCACGTCGATATCTGGCCCGCGTTCATCCTGGCCCTCGCCATGACGCGGTTGAAGTTTGGTAAGCGCTCGCTGTGCCTGACGCGTATAGATGTCATACCCATGGTAGCGTTTCACGGCATCCACGACATCCTGGGCGCGTATTTTCGACTTCATATCAAAAAGCTTCGGTATCTCCCTGAGCAGAAATCGAACATGGGAAGCTTCAGAGCGAGCGGGTGTGGCAGGCGAATTTGCATTCCGGGGGCAACTATGACTGTCTTGAAGAATACTGATGTAAGTGTCACTTTTGTTTGAGCGACAGACCACACGAAAAGGGCAATCTGGCGATGTTCGACATCCGATAACCACGCTCTTCTTGTTGCTACGAGATACACGAAGCTCCCAGTGTTGCCTGACAGATATACTCCGTACCACTCTTTTGAACTCTTCCAGGGAGCAAAACCGTTGGCCCACATGGAGCCCGGAGTACGTCTCCGTCATAGTGATGAGACTGAGGCAAGTACAGAAGACAGAAAGAACTTAGCAGCTAGGACAGAAGTCACAGAGCCTTTGGCGACAAAGCTCATTGGGCCTCGCCAGGCCGTGCTTGCAAACAACTTTGGATTGCGGAGTACGGCGTGATCGTTAGGCAGGCACGCGAGCGATTCTGTGTAGTTTTGGATTGGTCTCTATCCAAAAAGTCTCGGAGGCTATGCTTAATTGTGTAAACGAAAGTCGATTACTCTCGTTAGGCAGCACAGCTGATTGTTGAAGACGGGCCCATTGAGCCGTGGAGGTCAAAAAAGGTTAAAGCGGAGTTCAAGTGCCAGACCGCTTGGCTTCACTTTTCATATTCCTCCCCTCACCTTAAAGTCGCGGCCACTTTCAATCCACCCCCTGTGCTATTAGACTTTGGGATTGAGTTCCATAATCAGATACACAAAATGGCTTCTTACGGGCTGCTAGGCCAGCCAGAAGAAGGTCGAGTTCACTCCAGCTCTGTCCTCCCAGATCAACGTTAACACCCAAGCTCCTACAGATGCGCTCCACAAGTCGCGTCTCCTCAACGTCGAAGAAAAGCCATTCAAGCGAATTTCAAAACGATTATTGAACCCCGAGTCCCTCGTTGTCTCACAATCCTCGCTCCCTCTCACCCCTCCCCCGAAGAAACCGACGCCGACTCCGATGCGACCGCAAAAGAAGCTGAAAAACAGAAAAGGCTTGAAGAATGGCGCCACTTCCGCGAGGATGTCTCACTCGACTTTGCCGCATTTGAGGGTAGCATTGCGCGCGTCCAGTTTCTCCTTACTAGTAACGAGCAAGAACGCCAGCGATATGCCACCGAGCGAGTTCAGATTCTGTCGACTATGCAATCTGTACGGGAAAGCACGGCCGATCTACGCAGTCAACTGGAAGAGGCACAGCGACTTCTCTCCTTACGAAAGACCTACGATGAATTGACCGACAAAATCACGAGCAACCGTCTACTCAAGCCGCGCGAAGACCAGTCAGCGAACCTTCAGAAATTGCGACTGGAGATTGCAGATCTCGAGAAGGAAAGCAAAGATTACGCCATGACATGGGCTGAGCGACGCGAACAGTTCGGTCGTATTGTGGATGAGGGGATGCAGCTTCGTCGTCTGATCCGTGATGAGAAAGAGGAAGTCGAGCGCCGGGAGGGCATGCAGGAGGGCGAAGACGGCGACGATGGGGATGCCACATCCAAGGGCAAGGCTAGCAGTGGGAACACTCCTGGTCCTGAAAGTGATGCCGTGACTCCTTTCCAGCACGGCCAAGATGAGGCTAGCCGCCCATCTGCTCTGCAAGTTGAGAAGGCCGGGGCTACCGGTGCTGCGTCGCCACTGCGGCAAGTCACAACCGCCCAGAACGATGGGGCACGGGAGGACACCAATATGCTTGATGAGGGGTGAAGTCCCTGCGGGTAGTGATGGCGAATTATCCGAACTCGAGGAAGGAGAGGAACTCCCTGATGACTACAGCGGGAAGATGGATACTACCTAAAGATGCATTTCGGCGTGTACATTACTAGCACTAGCAAGGAGTTCTGGTTTATGGTCTGGCGTTGGACATGGCTTCAATTTATTGAATGATATTATGGAATATTCCACCTTATGGGTATTTTTTTAGCTTTGATGTATTAAACACCTCTTTCACGAAATCTCGCGCTGTGCGGTCTTAGCTTGGGCAATGGCTTCCTTGGCAGCGGTAATGTGCTCGACATTGCTCTCCGATCCTTTCTTGCCCTCCTCAATCTATCAGAATTGGTTAATGGAATCCAAGGATACAGATGGGGAGTAGAAAGGGATGTTACACTCACAATCAGAGCTTCCAGATTCGCAACGGTCTGCACAATCTTATCCTTCAACGTAGGCAGGACCTTCTTGGTCTCTTCAAGTGACATGTGCTATTATTTATGTCAGCATTAGAGGTTTCAGAAGATAGGCAAGATAATTTGGTAGAAGCAAAGCCTCCGTACAAGGCACATACCTCTTGCTTCAAAGTATACTCGCGGTTCTCGTCGTCACCAGCAGCATCAGCCTCCAGCTTCTTGATACGTTCAGTCTGCTGCTGAAGCTCCTTGTGATAGGAAGCCTCCTCCTTGACCAGGCGGGTCACGGAGGACGTGGTGATCTCTAGCTGGGTGCGGGGTGCCATTGTGGTTATCTGTGTGAGAGTTAGATGCGTGTAATGTGTTGACTCCAGTCTTGAACAGAACTGTCAGACGAGGTGCCATATGATGGGGGGCAATGTGTTCTAATTAACGCTATTGGATGTCTATATCCAGCACTCGGGATGCCGGAATGAGTTATACGACGACAAGCATTGCTAGCACAATTGTTTCAAGACACTGTGTATATAGGCGGGCATCATAACAGAATATTTAAGACCAAAAAGTACATACCTCTCGATTTTGTATCCGACAACAGAATTTAGTGATATGCTGAGCTGATTTTCGAGTTCTCAAAAGTTATTTGATATGCCCCTCGATGATGCTATCAAGACATCAAGACGATGTTTGCACTGTTTGCTATTTATGGGGCATCACGTGCTTCCAACTATAATTAAGTTCCAAAGACGATGGGGGATGGATCCGAGACACAACAAGATGAATGTAAGAAGTCATTGGAATATAAAATCTGGTTAAAAAGGCAAAGGAGCTTATATTCATTATCCAGCGAGCTTTCAATCCTTTCTTAGAAAAGTCGTTTACATGAGTTTCTCCGGTTGATATCTAAGAGCAGCTGGCATTACTACTTGCAATGTTGCTATAGAAGTGCCGATTACACAATCATATGCGTATCACTAGCTATTAAGTTCCAGATAGATATACTAGAGATCTCGATGGCTTAGGCCTCTCGATAGTCCTTGCAGGCCGAAGTAAGCACCTAGTTTACCACCTAGTTTGGTACCTAGCTAAGTATATAGATCATTAACTATATAACTAGCTAAGGATATAGCCAGGGATATAGTAGATACCTAAGGCTGTCAGTACTATAGTAGCTACGTCATCGCTATCTAATTTGGAGAAGGTGTATATCACGTGATTTAGCTAGTTAGACGTCTAAGGCTCTCAACCCGATAGGAGCCACGTGACCACTGTCTAATTCGGACTAGATGCGTATAGATCACGTGATTCAAGTAGTCACGTGCCTATATATTTATTCTCCGGTTCTCAGCGATCAGTTTTTCACCGAGTAGATTCTGTGGATTTTGGACCCATAGGATAAAATCCAGCTCACGTGACACGCGAGGCCCTTATGAAATAGGTATATTGCTTCGCTTCGCTCCGCAATAATATACAGATATCAGATCAGTAGCAGGCTCTATAATTGTGGATAACTATGAAACATTAGAACAAAGATACATTGAAAGCGAATCCATAGAGCGCCTTGGGCAGCCAATCAGCGTAGGCCTCGTGATCATCCACTTATACAACATAGTTATAAAGTCCAGCCTCCTACCGCTTACTCCGACCGCCTACGACCACCAGAATAGCATCGCGTCTGATCTTTGTTATTATCTCATTTTGTTTACTTTCGTCCCATGTCGCATATCCTATTGTACCCAATTCGGCTTGAACTATTGCTGTCATAAGCAAGATGCCGGCCCCATCACTACTCCACCTGGCGACAGCCACGGCTATCCGCTTCGTCAAAGGTACAGATGATATACACTCTCATTTGGGACGGTCCCATACTAATCATGTGCTTTTTAGACTTAGATGATCTGGGCGCCATGCCATACTCACTTGCACGTCCTATTTTACTTAATATCCATAACCCCGAAAAGCTGGTACGTCTTAAACCTGACGTCTATTACTTTGCTTGCAACTTATTTTCTCTTTTGGTTTACTTACTAATACAAATTTGCAGCACGCCATGGAGCTCACATCCCCCCACCTCGCTCTCAAAGATGAAGAATTGTGGCTGGAGCTCATTAAACGGGATATTCCTGAGTGGGAGAAGTACCAGCTCCCGGAACATACCAACAACTGGTACGGAGTATACTGTGATCTCCGCGACCAAGTCCAACGTGCTCTTGACGCCGATGCAGAGAAATTGAAAATTGCGATTGACGGCATCAGTGCCAAACGTGCACTCCTCACTCCCAAGCTCATCCCCGAGAGCAAGGGCTTGCGTATGGCTGGGTCCCGATCCTCCGTGCGACAACGCCATACTACATATGATCGCAGGACAGGCATGGTGGAAAAGAAGCCCAGTATTTTCCAGCCACAGAAGCGCAACACCGCGCTAACGATGCCCACCAAGTCTCTCAACAACCGTGCGTCGCAAGTCAAGCGCGCTCCGATCAGCTTGGTTGAAGAGCACCGCCGCCCCACCGAGCAGTCAGCACCACAGCCAGCATCAAAGGCGCAACCACTTCCCCCACGCATCAGCCGGCGCCCGGGTATGCACCCACCCTCGCTCCACAACCCCATGCTGGCTAAGAATGAGGCGCGGCTACGTGCACTGACTTCCTCCGCCACCCCACCACATAGCGGATCTAGCAGCGATGCGCCTGGCGTGAAGAAGTCACCGGGTATTGCCTCTGACCCCAAGGTGAAGCGCCGGGCAACCTCCCCCCTCGCAATGGAGAGAAACCCTCTTCATCTTCTTCTTCATCCCTCCCCGGCCCTCCCACCTCTTCTCTTCCCCCCTCCCGCCCGCCTTCCTCCGGGCCTGCTCCGCCCCGCCCGGGCGTCATTCGTCGACGTCCGGCGCCGAGCATTTTCATGCCGGTCAAACGGCGACAGTTGTCTTGATCTTCGGATCACCAAACCTTTTGTTGTTTTCGGGGTCTCCGAAAGGAGACCTTCTATGTACATGTCCATGGGGGACATAGGTGACATCCATGTTTTCAGTTCGAGCAAGGAGTTTGGGATCATTCTGATACCCGAGGTGGAATTCACCTCATTTGTAATTCATTTCGTGTTTTCATTTCGTGTTTCAATTTCATCAAATTTCCAAAAACAAATAATCCTGTCTTCTTCAACTCCATATAATGTTGATATGGGCTCTGTTTGTCCCATGCTACAGGCTATATCCATTTCTTGAACTATATGAAGGGCTTGGACGCACAACAAACTGCTCCAACTTTCTTAAGCTTTGACTATTCCGGAAAATGCAACCAAGGCTGCTGGTCAGGTCTTCAAGACTGTGGGCTCAACTTTATCCAAGGTCGTCAGCCAGCTGGGCTGGGCATCTCTCGGTGCTTCGTCCCAAAATGCACTCAGCATTACTCGCATTGTATCCTGCAGGGCACGCTTAATTACACTGAAGTAGACATACACAATCTCCAATTATCGGAAATAGAGTCGGAAAGGTATAGCAAAACCAAGCCAGTCCAAAGCAGCTCATGTCCTTGACAAATAAAAAAGGACCCAAATAAAAATTCAGACGATTCAATCCAGAACACCCAGTGTGCATAATGCCTCTCCATTTAAGCTCAAATCCCATTACTCCGCTGTCCCTGCAGCTCAATCCTCGCGAAATGGGATGCTCGATGTAAAAGCACTAGTGTTCCTCAACTGATTCACATTGCTGCAGAAATATGGTATCTAAAAATGAAAAAAAGGCGTTTACAACGACATCGCAGCGCATCCTCCACGCAGAGCAAGCACGAGATGGAGCGTGGCACCACCCTCGAGGTTATATTCTGACGCTGTCTTATCGTCCGCCCTTAACAAGTTGTTAGCCGGTATTTATTTTTGATAAGACGCAATGAAAATAAATCAGGGAGTAGTGTCTTACATCTGCTTGCCGCCGAAGATGAGTCGTTGCTGGACTGGGGGAATTCCCTCCTTCTCCTCGACACGCTCCTTTATCCGAGAGACCTGTAAGAACCGTTCATATCAGCATATGCACATTCGAATAGTAAGGATATAGCGTGGTTTATAGGTGTGTTTCAATCGAAAGGTAAAATGATTCCGTGCGGGGAGGAGCCGGAAATGCATCGAGGCTGGCGGGTGGTTTACCTTGTAGTCAGGCTCGATGTCGAGCTCGATCTCCTTGCCGGTGAGTGTTCGGACCCTGTTAGGACGCGAATGTCAGCTTGCGGCTCTGGTGTGACCTTTTCCAGTTCTGGGCTATTTGATGATGCAATGGGGACGGGGTCATGCTGGAGCAGGGAAACGCACTTGATCAGCATATTGAACCGACAGTGGCTTTTTCAGTGGTTTGAATAGTGGTAAGGAGAAAATGTATGGGCCGGCTGAAATGTAGTTGGAGGTACAGCTCTTGTCAATGAGTTGTTTGGAGAGAAGATGTGAGGCCGGCGGGGTTTTGGTGGGGGCCTGTGGCCTTATTGCCTGACCGCGTCGGAGCCTCACTTTCACCTGCGATGGATGTATACAATAGTTATAGTAAGGAGAACAACATAATTCGCACTTTTAAAGTAAGATGAGATGTCTTTATTATGTTTCTGTGGTCTTAATTCTAGCAGTAACCCACCCAAAATACCATTTTTGAAATCAATTATCCTTCAGGGTTTAGCAATATATATATTGAACTGCTTGTAGTATAGTTGATATTTTCTTTTTTTAGAAATAATTCAGGAAGGAGGGAAGCTATTTTTTTTTGATCAGCGATTGATCCAATTACCATAATCATGTTTCTGTCTGTTATTACTGCTTTATAGCTAGAAAGTAGATAGTATAAATCCCTTCTCTTACATGCAGTTTTACCTCATCTACCCCGCTGAAACCCTTGACCCAAACTAGAATCATTAGTCAATTGGAGTCCAACCTCAAACAACATGGCCAATGAACCCGAACATATAACATCCGAGAATCAGTTTCAGCAATTGATCACTCATTCTGAAAATGACCCGGTAAGCTTGAACCATTGATTGTGAATGGCCAAATGCTAAGAGTCCCATCAAGAAACAATTACAAATTGCCTATGAGGATCATAGAAGCAATAGAAATGCCCTGTTCAGAAACCAAATCTGCCAACCTGGATTCTGCGAATGGAAAGAAGATGAGATCCTGTCCAAAGTCCTCGACGCAGAGAAGGGGTTGACAGACTTCGTTGACCCGAGACACAACCTTGCCTTTTGGGCACGCCCACCACGGCATATCCGGGACTTGGTCTACAAGATCCAGCAAGAGATTGGTCCTTTGATTGGACCTGGTACGTGTAATGCAAGGGACCCGCGAGAAATACAGAGACTGTACTAACCACGATGATAACATAGGTCTCTGGCTTGTACCCCCCGCATCATCTGCACATGACCACGCTCGAGATCAGGTCCTCACTAACAGGACCTGAAATCGATGAAATCACATCTTCTCTCGAGATGACTGGGTCCGTAGCAGAGCTGGCAAACTACACTCTCACCCACCGTGCCCGGCTGGTCAAACCAGTAATCAGCTACGACACTTCTGCTATAGCTCTGAGCTTTGTTCCCGCGGCTGGCGAGGAAGATCGCAGTGTGTATAGTGGGAAAGATGATCAGTTTACGTATCACCATCTGCGGAGTGATCTCTACAACATTGTGACTCAATCTGGCTGTCCAATTGCAGCTAGGTATACCGTTCCTTCTGCGCATATCACTATTGCGCGCTTTATTGCACCTAGCAGTGCCAAAGAAGGACAGTCAGACTCCTCGAAAGAATTCGAGAAGAAAGCGTCGAGTCTTATTGCCAAGATCGAGGATCTCAATCATGAACTCCGCTCAAATGTGTGGCGGAGATTGGGGGACCCATCTCAAGGGCAATGGGTGATAGGTCATGAAAAGGGGTTGGAATTGATGAAGGGTCGAACATGGTATGGAGTAGGGGATAGTATTGTACTTGGAGAAGGATTCGTATAGCAGAATACAGGATTTGTACTGAGAATCAACTCCAAATACTTTTAGAGATCAGTGATGTCAAGGATGCCTCAGGCATAAAGTTTATGAATGACTCAGCATAATATTCTTGGCGACTCCTAAAATGGTTAGCGCCTACCCGATAGGGCCTAAGCGAGTGAAATCCCACAACCCAACAATCGCACTTGCTCTCCTCCGACAAGCGACAATCCAACGACCACCACCCAGCTATCCGGCCAAGTCAGTCAAAATGGTAAGGATATCACCCTACGAGATATGTCAAAGTGTTCTGCAAGCCCCGACCATTCGAAATTCCTCGAGTCGTGAAGAGATTGTGTAATATCCACTGTGCGGCCGACCTCGAAATCGTTAAATCCGCCAACCGTCGCGAATCACCACAATATGAACCACCCAACCGTCTGTTTTTCACCGGATTCTCGCAGCATGCAATATGAAAGTCGGCACTGAAGAGGGAATGAGTGGCGAAGCCTGCAGTAACAACGCTTGGTGACGAAATCGAGGATTCGAGAAACAGGTCACAATGGATGCACCCCGCGGTCCTTTTGGATCCTAGATCTGGCACCACAATTTCTGCCCCATGAAAACCACGACCGGGATAACACGACCGATCTCTTTGCGACGGCACCGGTTTCGAATCGGATTTCGGGGCACGAACCACATTGACATTGATCTTACTCGCACAATCAGACCAAAAAGACAAAAGCTCATGACATATCTCCGCACAGGTCAACATTCCCAAAACCCGCCGGACGTACTGCAAGTCCAAGGAGTGCCACAAGCACCAACAGCACAAGGTCACCCAGTACAAGGCTGGCAAGGTTAGTGCCTTCGACACCGAGGTGGTAGTCGTGAGCCATTGCTGATTATATTCTCTTTGCGATTTAGGCCTCCCTCTTCGCCCAGGGTAAGCGCCGTTACGACCGGAAGCAGAGTGGTTACGGTGGTCAGACCAAGCCCGTCTTCCACAAGAAGGCCAAGACCACCAAGAAGGTCGTCCTGCGTCTCGAGTGCACTTCTTGCAAGTCCAAGAAGCAGCTCGCCCTGAAGCGCTGCAAGCACTTCGAGTTGGGGTATGTTACATCTGCACATTGTTCTATTTGCTATCCAGTACTGACGTATCTCTTTTCTTTTACAGTGGTGACAAGAAGACCAAGGGTGCTGCCCTTGTTTTCTAGATTGTTCAATTTCCTTGTTCGGCTTCTGGGTTTCCTGCATTGCACAAAGTGCTTCGCTGTTTTTGCGGAGCATATATGACATTGGCAATGGAAAAATGAAATAGGAATTCATCTATTCAAAAACACCATCTATGACTACCGGATTATGAGTTGTCGAATGATTATTCTTGCTTCCCAGTAGGGTTGCTAGTAGCTGCCTCATCATCGTAGTGATATACTGTATCTCATGTCTTACTGTCCATTGTGCTCTTGGGCTGTTCATTCAAATGTTCAGTAGAGTTCTCGACTATCGACTCCTCGCTTCAGGAATATATTAAGATATCGTTAGGATATATAAACAGTGCGTTATATGCCTCAGCTCTTGCCAAGACTCCCTAGACATCCTCTACGTGGGGTCCACTATTACCTGTGGAGTGTTTCGTCTGAGCTGTCGAAGTCTCATGCCTCGCTTCATTATCATCGAGGCTATCAACTTAGTGATGGCTCATCAGGAATACAGTTAGAGCCGTCAGCCACAAATGGACTACATCATACTCCAAATCATCGGGGTCTCTCCGAGTACCTGACCAGGACCTCCCTAGCGACATATGATATTTTGTCCCCTGGGTTCTTTGTACACCCACCGTATTTCAATCCACACATATTCCCAAAAGAAGCAAACATATTATCAGAGCATAGTAGAACCAGGTTGAGAAACACCGAAGGGCGAGAGATGACGAGCGTGGGGGTGCCAAGATGTCCCAAAATGGGAACCCGGTTCTCAGCAGAATGGATTTCATCGATTGGTCCGTGTAAAACATGGAAGACAGACTTTATACTGAAATTGAAAGGACATGATATGAAGACGCGGATCCTCGCTGAATGACCCCGGAGGACACTGACCCCGCATTCCGAGGGACCATAGGAGAGCCTTGAACCAGCCATCTTCCTATGTTACGAGGCAAAAGCGGCTCATAAACATCCCAATGACTGCGTTGATTTTCTGTAGTGGAGACCTCTCGTATCTACGCCCTACCCCAGTTCCCCCGCTTCCCCAGGAATCGGTCCTTCGGCCCTCCTCCGACAATGGGCGTCTGTGTCGTCTATCCCTTGTCTCTCTGCTGTGTGACGCATCCTCGGCCCATCGGACGTTACCCGGCTTGTTTCTGTGAGAGACCAGCTGATATACTAATATATACCAGGGTAGCTCTTGTTTTTAGTTCTTGATCTGCGTTTTCTCTTTACTTCTTAATATCCCTATCTGATTCTGCAGAGAATCAAGAATTATTTAAGATGGCGATGTGGTATTCGCTGAGTATTGCTTTCTTTGCTGCTATAGGCACATTCTTGTTTGTAGGTTGATTTCTTCTTGCGAGATCATTTGATCTTGGACCCTGTAATACGCGCAGCTAGCTCTAACTATTGAAATAGGGATTCGATACCGGCATTGCCACAACTAGTGAGTTCCAATTACCCACAAATTCCACATTCGTGACTCAAAACTAACGAGTGACTAGCGATTGCCCACCAAAGCTGGATTGATTATATGCAAAAGCCATCAAATGGCGTCACAGGAGCTGTATGTCCAACCGACCAGCCATTTTAACCCCCAACCCGACAAACCAGACCCAGAAACTGACCATTCTAGGTTGTGGCCGTCTACATCGCCGGCGAAGCCGTCGGCGCCCTAACACAAACATTCATCGGTGACCGCCTCGGCCGCATCCGGTTCATGCAAATGATGTGCATAATCGTGACAATCGGCACCGTCATCCAAACCGCCTCCGTCAACATCGGCATGTTCCTCGCCGGCCGTGTGCTAGCCGGTTTCGCAGTAGGGTAAGTCACACATACCCTCCAGCAAACATCTAAACGGGCTAAAATTAACAACCCCTTAAGTGGCATGGTCGCAACAGTCCCAATCTACCTGAGCGAAATCTCGGACCCAAAATACCGCGGTCTGATCGGTGGAATCTCCGGCTGCGGCATCTCATTCGGAACAATGATGTCGAACTGGGTCGGCTACGCTTGCAGCTACGCGCCCTACGGCCCCATTCAATGGCGTCTGCCTTTGGGCATCCAGATCCCATGGGGAATTATCATGTTCATTGGTCTTGCGACTTTCATGCCTAATTCGCCGCGCCAGCTGATTCGTCATGGAAAAATTGACCTGGCGCGCAGTGAGTTTGCGAGTATTCGGCGTGGGCTTCCGCTCCAGGAGATGGAGGAGGAGTTTGGGCTTATGAAGGCGCAGATTGAGTATGAGATGGAGAGGGAAATGACCTCTTACCGGGATATCTTTAAATTGTTTAGACATCGGGTGCTTGTGTGAGTTCTTTCTTTCTTGGGCTGTTTGTTGACGAATTTGGGAACTAACTGACTGGGCTGTTTAGGTCTATTGCCGTGCAGACAATGACGAGTTTGACGGGTGTCAATGTTATTCAGTATTATCAGAGTGAGTTCTGACGAGTTCCCGGGTTGGAATTATTGGAATGCTAATATATCTCCCAGCTATTCTATACAAGGGTCTTGGAATCGGATCACATTCGATCCTCGCTTTGGCTGCAGTCTACGGTACCATCGCCTTTTTGTCTAACTCGGTTACTACAATGTACATGACCGATCAATGGGGACGTCGGAAGTAAGTATATTGTCCGGGTTGTCATTTCATGTCTGCCGCTAACCCCCACAGGATGTTGATCACCGGATTGGCTGGTGTTATCCTGATCGAAATCTATGCCGCGGTGATGCAGAGGCAGTTCCAGAATACAGACAACCGTGTCGGAAAGGGCTTCGCCATTCTTGGAATCTACCTCTTTGTGGTTTGCTATTGTACGGATTCGGACCAGGGCTGCAAGAAAGCATCGCTAACTCTGGGTGTTTTTTTTTTTTTTTTAGATGGTATGCTCAACAGTACTACATGGCTGTATGGTGCCGAGGTTCTCCCTATTGCTCTCCGCAGCAAGGTGATGGGTCTTGCCGCCGCATCTCACTTCATCGTTAATGTTGGCAGTATGTTTCCCAGTCATTACTATGAAAGATAGTGCTTCTGTGTCTATTGCTAACCTCTTTCCCCAAAACAGTCACCGAGGCTGGACCTAGTGCTTTTGCCAACATTCACGAGAACTACTACTACGTCTTTGTAGTATGTTCTGCATTCTTCTTAGTGATCGCTTACTTTTACTTCCCGTAAGTCACTTCTGTTTTATTTGCTTCACCGGAGATGAAGAGACAGATATAAGAAGAATGGAGGAGCTAACCTTGTTTAGGGAAACTAAGCAAAAGACCCTTGAAGAAGTGGCTGCTGCATTCGGTGACCGGGTCGTGGATCAAGATGAGGGAGCTAAGCGTGCGGTTAGTGTGGTTGGCGAGACGCAGCACATTGAATCGACCCATGGAACAACAAATGCAGTTTGAACCTCCTGCATTGGCAGGGTTCGTGTGAATTTCGTTAGGCTTACAAATGCCAATTTCAACCAATTCTAGAAGGGCACATGTATTCAAAATTCTTCACGTTGTAGGCTCGAAGGAAAGGTGAGATTTCCAACCCCCTTCTTTTGATAGGGGATTAAAATGGCGTTTTCTTTTCTTTTCTTTTCTTTTTTTTTTTTTTAATTTGCCCCAGAACTATGAAGTGCCGAACCCAGAAAGTAAAACAAGCGGATGTTAAGCTGCATGAGTATTAGGCTGAAGGATTTAAATTAAAGCAGTCGTAGAACCCATGGAATGAATGTAGCTCGCGTTTTGCCTCCGTTTTAGCCCTTCCCCACCAGACAAACATGGAGAACTAGTTAGAGTAGTCCAGATCAGACGTACGGAGTATACGAAGTAATTCCCCGACCCACAGTGATTTGTGCGGAAATCACTGCCAATTCGTGGGTTGAGGCGATCGTACAATATTGTCTACAACATATGTTGTACCTCGTAGTGCCTCTAACATCCCTGCCATACTCCGTATACTCCGTAGCTATCGAACCCTTCCTGCTCAGCAGAAACTTTATCGCCACGCGTCGGATGATCACTACCGATGATCCTTAGAGCTACCACAACCTGGGGGTATATGTTGAACCACGTGTGATCATTTGGAACAGTTGTCTTTCCCCTGGATTCTCCTGAAATTGGGAGATGGGAGATTATTTGCCACGTACTTTTGATACCTCTTTGGCCTCCCATTCTTGTTTCTTTTCACAAATCTGTTGAATTTTCTTTTCTTTTTTCTTTTTCTTTAATTATTTGAATTTGAAATTTCCTCGGATTTACCTCGGAACCATCCAGGCAGTTTTAACTAGTTCAACGTTAAAATCACCGGATTCCCGGGAGCCAGGAACATGAGCCCCGGGTCCGAGCCCGACCGTTCCGGCGTTCACACGATGGGAATCTGAATCGGGGAGCACAGGAAGGTCTCAATACTATTCTAGTATTGTAGTATTTTTGTACATCAATATTTCATTAAATGATCTATGGTCTACCTTATATCAAGTGAATATGTTATATGTTTATATCGATAAATATGACTGTAATTGGTAAACCTCAAATCTCCGAAACGAACCGGGGTCTCCGTTCTATAGAAATTAAGAAAAATAAACAATTGCAAGCTCTGACATGGAACTGACATTGACATCGGCTGAAAACTTAATATCAGAATTTTCACGTTTATGGACATTTCTAAGTATATCATCATCAAACAGGAGTAGGAGTAGACAGGGGGGGAATTCCAAAGTAGTTTGTGGTCATGGCGCATGTGGCTGAGGGAATCCACACTAACCACACTAATGAGTAATCGTCCTATTTGGGCGGTTCATTACGGAGAAGCTGAAGCAAGGGGGGTAATGATCGGCAAAACTGTGTGGCTTAGCCCACATGGAGTGGCAACCGACAACTCGACTTTTAACATCCAAGTTATTCCTACAATCTACGTGTTGGCGTTGAACACTCTCTTTCTCCACTTACATCAGTAGTAAAAAAGAAAAAAAAAAAAAAAAAAAAAACACACATATCATAATATCGTAGGATATTTCGCAGTTACTTCGGTCTTAAAGATGTCGGGTGTGCCCCAACGGGTTGAGATGGGGAGGCCCGAGCAACAATGAAACCATGGATTCGAGTTTGTATCAAAAGCCCTAATAGGATTAAACAATCCCAGAATCCCGGTGATCTGTTACGGTCTATACTGGATTCTAGTTAGTCGCATCGGGGATGTTCATCTCCACCAAACTCTTTAATCGCCCAGGATTCCGAGGATCCATTTCCATTCTTCTAGAATACCTTTCTTTTCATGCATCGGTCTCCCCGTTATAGGAATGTTGTCACCTTGAGGGCTGTCAACCCCTAGACCTTTTTTAATAATTATATTTTATGGATTTTATGTTCGGACCATCATCGACACAGGGGCAAATAAGTATGCCACTAATATTTTACTCCGATTGACGCAACCCCCCATATGCCAGAAATGAGGTTGCCTCCTATTATAAATGGAATCGGCTTGAAGTATAGAAGACTTCGATAGTCCCCTTCTTATATTAACTTTGAAAACGTCAATATCCCCGCTCATCCAATGTGGATTCTCACTGTCTATTTTTCCATAACCCCATGATCAGACGAGAAACCCATCCATACCCACAACATACATCGAGCACCCCTTTTTGAAACCGGAGTTCGATTTCCCCAAGAAGCATCATCTCCCCACTCAACAATCTTTTTTCACTATTTCTCCACTCCTCAGAACGAGGAGGTGAATGCGCTGCTTCTATCCAGTGCAGCCTCGACCTCCAATCCCATCAATGGCCTCATCCCGTTCAACAGGCAAGCGCCTCCCCATCAGCTGCCAGGCCTGCCGAACACGAAAGATCAGATGCTCGCGCGACGGCCGGCCATGTCAAACATGCGTGCGCCGCGGCCTAGGCGCCGAAGACTGCATCTATCTCGGCCAGCCACGGCTTTCAGCCGAGCAATCCTCGCCCGGCGACAGTGCAGTGCAAAATGAACTGCTAGCGCGAATTCGGAACCTGGAAGGCTTGCTCCAGAAGCAAATGAGCTCGCATGCCGGCACACCCACTGGTGGCGCGGTCTCGCCACTAGGTGAGACGAGTGCAGCGGGTAGTTTCTCCGAACCTGAGACATGGGATTCCCTAGGTCCCATATTGGATAATGTGGGCACGCTTCGTACCTCTCCTTCGGGTCATGTGCGTTATGTGCCATTGGCTTCGCAGTGGGAGTCGTTAGTGGCGAAGAGCCCCGCTGCGGAGTGTTTGCCGAATTTAGATTCGGATATTGCGGATGATGATGATGATTTGCAAATCCCGTTGGCTAGGAATGGGAGTATCTCGCGTGCTGAGCTGTTGTCGATTCTACCGCCGGGTCGGTATTGTGATACTCTCAAGGATGTCTATTTTCAGGTCTTTTCCTCGGTATGTTATGTGGAAAGAAAAAAGGAGGACGTTAGCTGACAACAGGTTAGGTTTTTCATATTCTTCACGACCTAACGTTCGAAGCCGAGTATCAGCATTTCTGCCATGATCCGGGAAGTGTGTCTACATCATGGCTAGCTTTGCTATTCGCCATGCTAGCAATCGCTGTAAGCGCACTCGATGATGATCATCCTTTGCTATCTGATCTGGGGCGAGAAAGAACAGTCAGCCGAAATATCAAAGTGCTATCAGTACGGTATCGATCTGCTGCGTTGCGGTGCCTCGCTGCCGATGGGGTGATGTCCCGACATTCGATCAACTCATTACAAGCTTTAGTTCTGATAAATTACGCCCGAGTTCATCGCGGTCTACCAATATGGACATTACTAGGGTTCACACATCATGTTGCAATATCGATGGGTTGCCATTTGGACCCAGAGAGGTTTACTCTTGGGCCAATCGAGCGAGAAGAGCGACGACGAGTCTGGGCTGGATTGATGATGCTATACACCATCCAAAACACAGCATTTGGGAGTCTCGACCAGCAGAGTCTAACGCAAGACGTGAAAATGCCCGCAGACATTGACGACGTTGACCTGCTCACCAGCCCAAGCTTGAAAAGACCAGCACCCTCAGCATTCCCCCGCCCAACGCAGATGACCTACCTCCTTTTGAATTTCCGACTATACAAAATCTCCTCGAAGATTTGTGAAACAATATTCAGCTACCCAAGTACATCTCGATTCACCACCTCACACCTCGAAGCGGAAATCATATCCGTCCGTGAAATGGTCGAGGCTCGCTATGCTCCCGATACAAATAGCCCCCTACTCATTCAGCATCAAGCCAACCACCACATCCTCTACAGCCAGATCCACCAACTTCTTCTCCTTCTCCTCCGCCCAAGTCTCTGCCGCTACCTACAAGGCGAGATTACACCTGAAACTTGCTCTACAAGGGCAAAGTGCATCGCTTCCGCCAAGGCTTCACTTTCCATCTTTGAAACGCTCCTCGAAACACCATCGTTCAAACCCTACAAATGGTACACCAGCGGACTAGGCAGTTTCCACGCATTCCACGCTGCAGTCACATTAGCCGTCGTCCTGCTCATCCCCGAGGGCCAGTCTGAGTACGAAGAGACCAAAGACATCCTTGACCGAGCACTAGACATGTTCGCCTCGCTCTCAGTGCGCAGTGTTTTCTGCAGCAAGGCCGTCCCCATAATTCGACAAATGATGTATGTTCAAGTTACACCCCCGATTCTACCTAGTACCCTCCGTCTCCAGACCAGTGACTAATACACAAACCAGTGACGTTGCCTCGACAAAATACAACCCCCAATCACCCACCCACTCTCAATCCCACCTCCAAGCCCAAGCCCAGGTCCAGGCTCAAGTCCAAGCCCAGGTTCAACACCAACAAAACCAAGCCAATATCCAATCCCAGTCCCACAACCACCTCCTACCAAGCATCCAAATCCCACTCTCAATGTCAACCCTCTCCCCCGGGATGACAATGCAGGATAACTATGCGATCTCGCACCCGCACTCGCAATCTGGATCACCGGTGCCAACTATTGCATCGACTTCGAGTGAGCACACCATGCATTCTAGCTTCGGGTCGATGCATCCGCAGAATTGGATTGGGTCGACTTCTGTTCTGTGGGATCCGTTGGGGCCTACGGATGGGGGTTACATATTCGATTAGAGACTCGATATGACAGGATGATTTCTTGATGACCATTTGAATTTCAGGGTTCGGGGCTAGGAGCTGGGAGCTAGGAACTAGGAGCCAGGAGCCAAGGTTTTGGCGTGGAGCATACAGGAATTGGTAGTTTGGGGGCCTTATTATCTATTTTCTTATAATGTTTTTTTTTTTGCATGAGTGATATGAGAGATGAACGGATGGAAATAAAAAGCGTGTCTTTTAAATCAATTATATACCTCCATCCACACACAACAACAATTCTATTTCTAATACGATGATCTATCTCAAATAACCCATTATAAGCCCCATCGGCCATATCTAGGGCCCTTCCCCAAACCCAGGAGCCCCCCAAGACTTCCGCTGCATAACAGCAAAACCAACCGCATCCTCCCCACCAACCGGAGGATTACATACCATAAGCTCCATATCCATAACCTTCTCATAAAACGGCACCGATCGCTTCCAATCCCCAGTAAGCAGCAGCGATCTCCGTAGATAAGGCATCGTCTCAATAACCTCCTGCACGCAGCTTACGAGCCATGTTCCCAGACCCAGGCCCTGGAGCGAGGACAGGACAAAGACGTCTGTCAAGAAGAGGAATGTTGTGTAGTCTGTTACGCAGCGGGCGAACCCGACGAATTCGAGCGTGGAGCTTGAGATGTCGTGATCTGGTGACTTGGCTGACTGCCTGGCATTGTGGTATAACCCGAAACAGAGGGAGTTTTGTATAGTTTCGCGCAATGCTGGCTCGGGCATTGGCTTTGCCCAGTAGAATTCTTCCCCCGCGTACCAGGTGTTTAGGGTTTGGATGGGGATTAGGGATGGGTCGGTTGAGACTAGGTATTCTCCCTTTGTCCAGGTTTTGGGTTGGTTTCGTATTTCGGATGTTGGTGAGGTCATTTTTTAATCTTGGGGTAGATGTTTGTATGTTCGCGGGGAGAGTATGAGGGGTTGGTTATTGGTGTTAGGGCTCACTATTCTGCCTTTTTGAGCGGTCTTGATGCAAATGTTAAGAAAATGGAAGAATACCTCGGTACGATCTATGAATATGCGAAGTTTTTATTGGAGGTGGGGAGCCAAAAATAAAATAAAATTGATATCGTGGAGAGAGGGGATGTTCCGTGACTCACAGATGAAGTTCGCAGACATAATCCTGCCAAGATCGGGTTAATTGGTAATACGAGTATCTTTGCCAGATTTAACAGAGTGTTGTACGTAGATTTCTAAGGTTAGTAGATCAACTTATTAAAGGCGCCTTCTAATGACACTGGGGCCAAGAAGTGCGCAATATCGGAAAGATAAGTGGCCATCGGCCGAGCCCTATAACCTCGGGACATGAACAGCGATAATATAGATGATATAAAGGGTAGAAACTATGTAAAAGACATGATATTTTGAATTGAAGACATCGATCATTGCAACTTGAAACTCCCTTCTGCTTATTCGTAAAAAACCAGACATCTAACTTCAATGCTCTGTCTCCCAGGTGATCCAGCAGGAGTCTGCGGATCAAAGAAAGCAGTGTGTCCCGAGCCATGCGCAATATCCGTCTTCGCCTCAGTCATAGTATGACTCCTCGAATCAAAACACTTAATGAACATGACCTCCTCGGGCGTCATATCCTTAGCGTAAAAGAAACGATGGCCCTCATTAGGAGCGATAGCATACGTCTCCCCCCTTGACCTCATATCCCTCAGTAGAGAACATCGACTCCGAATCAGGCGCCACCTCTCCATTCTCCTGCCACTCCTTCGGATAAAGAAGATCAACCTTAACAAAATCCGAAGGAGCAATACTCCTCCAATCAATCAGTGCCAACGGGAAATCAGAAGCCGGATTCTCAATCGGACGCCAGACATTGATAATCTGGTATCGACCCTTCAACAGCTCCTCTACTTCATCCTCGGGCAGGTGGCGACGCACTCTCGCCTCGGCCGCTCGGGGCGTTTGGTCCACGTGCACCAACTGCACAGGACTGCGCGCTGAGCCTGGTGTCCGTCGCCGGATGGTGTGGTCGAAGATGGCCACTTTTTTCACCCCCGGTAGCTTCTTGCGGAGTAGCTCTTCTACTTCCGCGTAGTACCCCGCACGCACTTCGGCATCGTCGGTGAATGCCGTCTCCTTCGCGGGTGAGTTATATAAGGCGAAGCCGGAATTGTCTGTTGTGTAATGAGACTCTTGGCCTCGCAGGTCCTCGACTTCGCGTTCCAGTTCGGTGAGTTGGTAGGACCGGCCTGGTCCGTCGACTTTGCCCCAGGGCTTTTTGAATGGCTCTGTGGCGTTGGGGTCGTATGAAGCTCGGTCGATGTATTTGAATGCTGCTTTCGTCATTTTTGTAATAGTTTGGTTGTGTTGACGGTTTAGATTGAAATGGGTGTTTTTTTAGGGGGGACTTTTGAGGTTATTGGATGATCTTTGCTTTCCTCGCGATGAGGGAGTGGTGGGCTGTTGAATTCTTCAAACGAGAGGGGATGTGTGTTTCCACAGTACGATGATGCTCTTATGAAGATTTTCAACCTCTACAACATATATATAAGGTAACTACAAAGTATGGGGAGATGTTAGATTGGAAATCCAGGCTTGATTATTAATTGTGGCGGGGGCTAATGTCGGAGACATTTGATGGCATCATCGATAGTTACCCCGATGCAGGAAATAATTTGTAGATTTAAAATATTCAGTTTTGGATAGGGTGAGAAGATTGTGCGTATATCTAAAAATATATAGACATTCTCATTATCAATTTAGGGCATTTTGCACTGGTGAAATTGGGTTGTTGTAATCCCATCATCTGCAGGCATTTCAACTGATTAGTAAAGTACTAGCACGTGATATTTAGATCCACCTTCTTCTTTTGGAAGTATATTGTCCCTGATGCTTCTCTCTATTTTGGGTCAGCAGCTAGCAGGCAGAATAACTTGTAGTCTGGATCTGTAGTCTAGATTTGATATATATGTTAGATTATATTGCTGTAGCTCAATAAAAAATGTATGGCATATTTGCACTCCACGTTGTAAATATATAATAAGTGATTCTTGGTGGAAAATATGACATAGGTCAGCTTTACCCCCGCATCTTTTTGAATTGTGTCTGTAACACTTGCATATTCTCCGAATACTACATCGGATTCTACAAAATAACCCAATTCAGCTCACCACCTCATGTTGTTGGTTGTTGCAAGGTTGATAGCCAATCACCGCCTTCGCTGCCCCGCACGGCCAAAGCGCATGAGACTCAACTCCAAGCGAGATCAAATACTTTTGATCAAATGTTACCTTTTGAAATTATCGACACTTCATATCAAGTCGCACTTTGTCTAGACAGTGCTAGCGTGGAAAACCCGATGACAGTTGTCTTGTTGTGGTCCGGGGCATTCCACACGGCACGAAGTGGACCGAATAGAATTGCTTGCAAGTCAACATACCAAACTTGGCCAGGCAACTCGTGACCCAGTTTTTTAGAGTCATTCTTCATGCGTTGGCACTTTCGCAGTCTGCGAATACTCGGCGTGGTGATAAGTGCTAATCCACCGGCCTCAAAGGCGTGAAACACAACATTATGTGGCATCTGTGCTGCTGGTACCTCTTTTACGTGATCGAGGAGCCTGCCAATTAATCCCAAGCGGCCAGTCACATGTGGAATATGGGGACGATGTGACGATCGCCAATCGGGTGCTTTTTATATTGGAGTTGTCCACCCCCGCCTTGTGAGAGTGTTTATTTATATGACCCCGCAGCTGAATCACTACCACTCTCCATATCCATGCCTTTTCTTATATAGAACTCCACCAAGCTGTAATTTCCAGAGCAAAACGTGGAAGGGGATATTGGAAATTGGATTCTTCTGAGGAATGCCAGGGATGTTTGGTTAAATGCAATATATAAGACACCACATCCTTTGATTCAAATCTCACAAAACCAACCACTCTGCCCAGACCTTGGATCAGACAGTCCCCTTGACTCATAATGAACCTCAGTGCTCTTCTTGGCCTGTTGACCTTTGTGGCGGCGGTCTCCGCTGATGCAAAGGCTCAACAATCTCCTCATTCCTCGGATTCTATCGCCAATCTAAAGAGCAAGATCAAAAATGTTGTCATCCTGGAAATGGAAAACCGCTCTGTGGACAACCTGCTCGGCGGGCAGACTCTCAAGGGACTGGAGAACCCTATTAATAATGGCCCTTTCTGCAACCCGTACAACTTGACCGATCCTTCAGCTGGCAATGTGTGCAGCTCTGCCAAAGACTTCGACTCTGTTCTAGATGATCCTGATCACTCGGTGACTGGAAACAATATCGAGTTCTATGGCACTTTCGTCCCAAGCAATGTTCACATTGCCGAGGGCAAGCTCACTCCCACCCAGCATGGCTTTGTGCATGAGCAGCTGCGCAGCTATGGCGACGATGCCGATAAGGCTTACCTGGCCAAGCAGGTCATCAACTACTATGTCGAGGACGAGGTACCAGTGATGACTACATTGGTGCAGAACTATCTCACCTTCAACCACTGGCATTCGGACCACCCTGGTGTAAGTCCGAATAAATTTCCATGCTCTATCAGCGTATGAGTATGGCTCCTAACATGTAAAGTAGCCCACAAATCCCAACCGGGCTTTTGTACTCTCAGGCACGTCGGCCGGTCACGGCACCAACGACGATACCTTCAACCCAGATGTCCACGGCCTCACCCAACGTTCCATCTTCCAGCAGCTCTCAGAAACCAACCACAGCTGGAAGAATTACTACACCAGTACTCGCATGGTTGACGCCTACTTCTTCGACTGGACCTTCACAAGCGGCAACTCCGACAAAGCAGTCCCCCTGGATAACTTCTACGCCGATGCGGCAGCTGGCGCACTCCCGGAATTCTCCTTCGTTGACCCGTCCTGCTGCGGCGTGGGCACAAACTCCATGCACCCAACCGGCCTCGTCTCCGAAGGTGAAACCCTGATCAAGAATGTCTACGACGCACTCCGTTCCAGCCCACAGTGGGAGGAGACACTCTTGATCCTCACCTTCGATGAGACAGGCGGCTTCCACGACCATGTCCCGCCCCCACTGGCTACCCGCCCGGATGACCTGACCTACACCGAGATTGCGCCTTCCGGTGAGGAGTATACGTTCTCCTTTGACCGTCTCGGTGGTCGCGTCCCAACTCTCTTGATATCACCGTGGATTGCTAAGGGCCAGGTCGAGCAGAAGGGTACGAACTCGGATGGCGAGGTCGTGTCTTACTCTGCTTCTTCGATCCTGCGCACTCTTGGCTATCTCTGGGACTTTGAGCCTTTCACGCCTCGGGTTGGATCCTCGCCTTCATTTGAGCATCTTATTCAGCACACAGCGCGCACTGACACCCCTGTCAAGTTGCCTGTGCCTAAGGCATTTAGAAAGACGGAGATTTAGAATAGTACTGTGGTGTTGCATCCTACGTTGATCATGCATAAAGGCTTTTCAACCTAACGAGGATAATTGCAATTCTACTCCATGACAATAACAGTGTCAATTCTGTTCGATACAAACTCTATAAATATTTTAACCTTGTGTATTAAGGGTTTGCCGTACAGTCGGCTTTTCTAGGTATCGGAAAGAAGCTTGCTTATGTAGTTTTATGATGGATGCTAACTATGTTATCAATGTTTGTGTCAAGCCAAAATACAATAAGCTCAGTATAAAAATAGAAAATAGAATTAAATGGCCAAGATCGGAATGTACTGGGATTTATTTCGACTTGTGGTTGAGGGGTAACGATAACTTTATTGGGAAGCCGCATACGCGGCCGACTACTATGTACTCTGGTGGAAATTGAAAGGAAACATCGCCGTAACGATGAACCCCGACTTTAACGTTGACGACAGTCTAGGGTCTAGGGGGTGACAAAATTCATATTAAGCACGTCATGTCATCTTGGTACTGCCTTTTCTGTTGAGTGGCCCTGTCGTCATCTGTGCCTCGGGAGGATTTGAAACATAGATCTGACAAGCGCTGCCTCGGGTTTACATAGCTTGGAGTACTTGAGGTTTGACTCGACATCTTCCAGCAAGCTTTTAATATGATACCGGCTCTGTATCAAGAAATGCAGTGCAACTTGGCACTTGGAGGATCGAGCAATTAGTATAACCCCTTCTCCATTCTTTTTTTTGGCTTTTGCATACAACGAAATGAGGCTCTTTTAAATTAGACCTTTTTTCTCTTTTATATCATTATTAATATTTACTTCACCGCATCTTCACAAATCTTTTGTTCAAGACCTGGGGGGCGAAATAGTGGACTCAGCCTTAGTGTACTCCGTTCATAATATGCCGAGAACGCCCCGCATGAGATTGACGTCATCCGCGGGGCTCCCACAAAGAAAGTCAAAGACCAGGGCGTTTGGGATTCTACGCCTCTTCTTGCCTCGGATGTGATACAACAAGATCCGCAGGGGTGATCTTTGTACTATGATGTCAACTTCAGGGCGGCTAGTGGAACATATCTTCTTAAGATATCATTTTCAAAAACGGCAACCTAAAATACTAGATCAGGATTAATCTATAGATTGTAGCTAATCTAGTCGTGTCCCCTACCAGCTGAAACTTGAAGCTGCAGGAAATTGTTCTCATGACTGTTTACATATAGCGCTAATCCGTTCTTCTAGACTTGGATACACCTGTCAATGCAGCCCTAGAGCAGATGACATTTGGAATGCAGGTGAGGCTGCATTGAAGTATTATGTTTTACAGTATGTGTATGTGTACTGTACATGTATGTATCAATATAAAAGTTAGGAACCATGGAATCCACCCGAGCCAGTCGATACAACCCATGGATTGAGAACGGGAAGAACCAAACAACAGAGAGAGTAAACAAAATACTTGTAATTCTACTTTGTACAAAACAGTTGAAATCTAAGCCACAGTGTTTCGAGTGTTTCGAGTGTTTCGCCCCAGCCCCCGGGCAAAAAGTGTGTGTTAACCCTGAGGTTGAACCCTGAGGTTGAGAGAGAGAGAGAGCCTCACGTGGATGTCTTTTATCTTTACCTCTCTGCCTCTTCCCTTTTCCTTTTTCATCCTCTCTTTCACATCTCTCATCTTCGCTGTCTCATCGCTAAATTACCCATTACCTATTATCCATTTGCCTTTCAACTCTCCACTCCAAGTCTTTCAAATCCGATACGGTGCTGCCTGCAGATCCTTTAGTCTGAGGCTCAGCCGGTTGGGCGTGTGCCGATACTCCGCTCTCTCTGCCCTACAGAACATCCGCAGACGCGGCTTTCATCATCCTGAATCATTATTCAAACCCCACTGGACTTTCGGCTTTTTCTTGGCTTTGATCTGTTTGGCTGAGACAACCGTTACCAATCAGAATCAGCCCGGGAGACTCCTACTAGAATAGTCTTCGACCATTAGTTGATCGCGCTCTCTCTGCACACACCCCCACTTCCCTGCCGCCCCCTCAATTTCCTGCATTGTGCATCTTACTTTTTTTTGTCCTTCAACTATTTACTTCTCGACTCATTCTTCAAAGGTTTCTCATTTCTCATTTCTCACTGCCCTAAATACGTCCCATGTCGTACACTTACAGAGACCGCGAACGAGACTGGGACGAGACCCGTCCTGTGTCAATCAAACGTTACGTCGTTGCTCCTGAAGACGACCGTCGAGACGACCGTCGAGACTTCATGTCAAGACATGATGATTCTTTCGGCGGCGAGCGCGAGTTGGTAATCCGGCGCAAAACAGATCGTGAAGAGCCTGTGACTGTCTCGCGCTATGAGCGAGAGGTGGAGTATGAGCCACCCGCACGCTACGAGAGAGATTACTACGATCGTGAGTACCTACATCCCTATACCAATTATCCACATTCCCGGTCCATCGATTCCCTGGAACGAATGGAGCAGTCCCATACTGCTACCACCATTGGCACCCCAAAGCAACCCGTACTTATTCGTGAAGCCCGCACTTCGTATACCAGTCCCCGTGAATCCGACTATGATGTCGTGCGCCGCTCCGAGGCCGACGAGGACCCTTATTACTACCACCGTCACCGCCGAGTCCGTGAGCACGACGACCATCGCTCCCGGCGTGAGCTGAGCCCGAATGATTCAGTCTCCCAGACTAGTCGCCGCCGCCGCGGTGATCGTGATCAGGACTACAGTAGCGATGATAGCATGGTCTACATCCGAAAGGAAACCCGCGACTATGACGACCACCCTCACCACCGTCGCCACATGGCAGAGGGTGCATTGGTAGGTGCTGGCGCGGCTGAGTTGTTCCGCAGCCACAGCAAAAAGGATGGCGAAGTCAGCCATGGCGCCAGCCGTGTCGGTAAGACTGTTGGTGCCGGTGCTCTTGGTGCAGTCGCTGTGAATGCTGCATCGCGTGCTCGCGACTACTACCACCGTAGCAAGAGCCGCCATCGTGCTCATTCCTTTGAAGATGACCGTTCCCATCGCCACAGCAGACATGGCCGGAGTCGTCGCAGTCGCAGTCGCAGCCGCTCTCACTCGCACTCTCGTACAAAGACTCTCCTCGAGCTGGGAGTTGGTGCCGCGGCCGTGGCTGCTGGTGTGGCTGCATTGCGTAGCAAGTCGAAAGCCGGAGACCGCAAAGGCCGATCTCGCACTCGCTCCCGTTCTCGGGCTGCTAGTCGGGGTCGCTCGGTGAAGGACGGAGAACAGGGTGAACACGGCATGTCTGAGCGCGGCAAGCACATGGCTGGCGCTGGACTGGCCGGTGCGGCCGTGGCTGGCCTGGTTGAAAAGGTCCGCAGCCACTCGCGCTCTCGAAAGGGTGAGCGCTCCCGCTCCCGCAGTCGTTTGAGACAAGCTCTTCCCATTGTGGGTGCCGGTCTTGCGACTGCTGCTGCCACCGGTCTCTACGAGAAGAATAAAGGTGATAAAGATGAAAAGGAGGGCTTGAGCCGGGGCCGCCATCGCTCAAGGTCTCGCAGCCGCGCCCCGTCACAGTCCTATCCCGATCCATCTCGCGATTCGACCGGCCTGATAGAATACGGCAACGATCCAGTTGCAGGTAGTATCCCATCTGAGCACTACTACGGTCAGCCCGGTGCGACCTACTACGATGCACCGGAAGCCTACGTTCCCAGACGTCATACCCGCAGCCGCAGTCGGAGCCGAGCCCGCTACAGCAGTTCATCTGGTTCTGACCGCGAAGGTCACCCTCGACGAAGCAGGAAGCACCGTAGCCGCTCAAAGGACCTCGCGGGCGCCGCCCTGGGTGCAACAGGACTCGGCTATGCAGCACACAAGTACAACGAGCGTCGCAAGTCCAAAGAACGGGAACGCGAACACTCCAGTAAGTATCCACTCCCCCAACTTTTATCGAGAAATATTCACCCTGACTAGTGGTGTAATCAGAGCGTGACGACCACGTCCACCGTGATCCTTATGAAGAATCCTATGACCCAGAACCATACCCGCTTTCCCCGCAGACGGCCCCGGGTGCCCCGCCCATGGCTGACCCCCACTACTACCCCAACAACAACTATTTCCCCCCGCCCCCGGGGACTCGACCTACAACCTGAACAGCGGTACCCCTGTTTCCTACAATCCCGCAGACTACCCCCCTCCACCTGGCGCTGCCCCTCCCCAGCCTTACGCCTATGGCGCTGCATCACGAGGACCGGGACCGGGACCGGGGCTAGGACCCGAGCAGTACGCCCCTCGGCCGCGTAGGGCTGATGACAATGTGAGCAGCTCCACCCTACCTCCTGATATAAACCACGCGCACAAGGGTGGGTTCAATGAACCACAACTGTGAGTCCATATAGTGCAACAAAAGCTAATTCACAATCGGCAGGTCTAAACATCCACCCATTTCCATCTCCATCCCGGTCAACTAGCCAACCGCCACAAGTCTCGAAGTCCGTCACTTTCGACTTGACGGATTCCCCGCGCGATCCTGGCTACGAGACTGATGATAGTGATTCTACCGTTGAACTATATTCATCTTCGCATTCCAAAGATAGAAACCACCATCGCAATCGAGATCATGATTATGATCATGATAGCCATCACCATTGTCGCCGCCGTTCCTCATCTGTTCCCTACCCGCCTATGCCCTATCCTAGTCCTGCTTCTGATCACCATCAACATCACTCACCAGCCCCAAGACACCACGAGGGAAGAAATCAGAACAAAGCCTCTGGAGCCGAGTCCGACTCAACCATCGACCTACCCAACCGCTTTGACGGGCAAGGCCATCTTATTCCCGAGCGCAACCCTGCTGTCGATAAATTCGAGGACCTGGTGAATAGGTTTAGCAAGGTTCTGTTCTAGCGGGTTGCTGTCTGGTGTTCCGTTCTATCCCACCTATCCCCATCCATCCATCCCTTTGATCTTATTTCTATTTTTTTCTGATTTAGGTGGATTTACTGGTTTGAAGGACTTTATTTTCTACATTTCCTTATCTCTTGCTTTTTATCTTATTTTTCCTTAGTATTTTATGCTTGATGTTTTATGCTGGTCAATCTTGGTTCTACGGTTATGAATGATGCCTGCTGCCGATGATAATAATGATTTTATGATGTGTATGTGTGTTCAGATAATGCGATGCCTGCTCTTTTTTTTTTACAAGATGTTATAGGTGATATTTTCAATATCCTTTTTAGTACTAGTAAAGGCATAAGCAAGTTGCATAGAGCATGTAGTAGTTAATGACGCGGATGTAATGTGCGGAGTCAAGAGATCAGCTGAATTATAAAAAGTAACATACGTATCTGTTCTATAATTAATAACTAGTATGTATATCCAAAGCCCGAAAGAATAACCCTATATATGTTTACAAGACCCTAACAAAAAAGAAATATAGATACAAACCCATCTAATGGCATGAAACAACTTTTATGAAAAGCCCAACCCGTCTCGTATTCGAAGACTGAGCTAATAATGAAAAAGATACCTTTCCCAAGAGTCGAGTCGAGGCGTACAAATAGATAACACAAGGGCGATTCCGAGATCAGCCAGAAACCAGACAAAGCGTACAGATACAGCGTGCTTCGCACCAAGAGTAGACATGGAAACAAACCTCGAATAAAACCGGGTAAAAAAACATGGATGGCTGCTGTGTAAGGAATGGATGGAGGGAGCGTATGTAGCAGATATCGCATCCATTTCAAGGAAGGAAGTGGCCAGCAAAAGAAAAAGCCATACCCGAGATCGTGTTTGGTGAAAAGACAAGAGAGAAGACGGAAAAGGATGACAAGGACCATACGGAGTCGATCCGTGATAGAGCAAAAAGACGAAAATTGCAAATGGGGTATACTGCGGAAAGAAGTCTGAAGGAAAGATAGGGGCCATACTGCGTATCTGTATGATATATGCAGACTGGGCCGCCAAAGGCAATAGGCTCTTTGCTTTTCGTCGCGTTACATAAAAAAAAAAAAAAAAAAAAGTAAAAAGTAATTAAAGAGAAAATAGGGCTGTCGTAAGTCAATGATATCGATCTATCGCTAAATTTGTTATGCCGTAAAAGGTCGTCTCGAATTCCCCGATCCGGTGGACCGAGTATCGAGTGGCAGGCGAATGGATGCTGCGTTTTTTTGTGGTACAGCAATCTGCACTGTGTCGTTGCTCGGAGATGTTTGCTCTGGATCGTTGTCATCGGTATCAGGCACCACCTTGATGCTGGAGCTAATAGATGCCGAGAGGTAGCGGGAGCTGAGTGGGAGCTGGTATTTGATGATGCCGCGGACAGTCAACTCAAAGGGGTGTTGGAGGACTCGCTCCCAGCGCTCTGTGCCTCCAGCTTCAGTTTTGTTTCCTGGCCGGGCTAGGCGGATCTGTCCTTTGGAGCTGGAAGTCAAATGATTCCAAGGAGATGATTCGAAAGATAGTGGGGAATCGAAGTGGAACACCCGGCCAAGCAACATCGATCGCGGGTCACCTTCTGGATCGGTTGGGGGGTCGGTGCCCCTGTCGACCCCGTCGCTGGTGTGTGGGTCAGAGTGGCTAGGCATGGCTTCCTTGATACAGTTCACATTGCCGAGGCATTTCACGGCTTGTGACAACTGCCAGCGACGTCGGCTTTGCTCCACGCGTGGGAAATTATCCAGATCATCATGCTCACGCCAAAGCTTGTCGGTTCCAACAAAGCGACTCTTGGCGAATATGTTGACATCGGTGTCGTCAATGGTCACCGGGAACAAGCTCGGATTGACGGCTTGTACATTCAAATCCAACATGATCTCCTGTTCCGAAGCGAGCACGTTTTGAATCGCAATAACTTGGACATCGAGAAGAGGCTGGGTTGCCGCAACGATGAATGAGGTGGCGCCGCCAGCGGCAATCAACAACATGAGGAAGATAATAGCGCATGAGCCAAATCGAGTGAAAATCCCGCGTTCCCGCTGCGCCATGTACTCCATCTGCCGCAAGCTTGCACTGTTGGGCCGTCGACCACTCCGACTGTGGATTGTACGTGGTGTGCCTACCAACGGTGTACGTTCATCGTCTGCACCCTCTGCCTCGTAGTCATAGTTGTGAAGCTCGTTACCCTTCCTGGAACCGCTAATGGTTCTGTAGTTGGGAGACAACCGGGTATTGCTGTGACGTGAATGCCTATACGTATTACCGATGAAATGGCGCGGAGACTTTTGAGATTGACTCTGCGAGGTTGCAGTGTCGTTGTCGAAAAGATTTGGGTGCACGCCGTTGCGTCCATGAAGGCGGCCCAAGTTATGATGATGCCGCGGAGTAATGGTTCCACTTCCATCAGTCCTAGAAGAACGCGAAGCCATATCAGCCTCGACACCATCGCAATCTATGGTGCCGTTGTTGTAGAGGTTGGCGTTGGTAAACTTCATGCTGCGTTTGCCCGTCACGCCGTGAGAAGAATCCCGCAATCCTCGGGTACGACTAGACATCTGGTCCGCTTGACTCGCCATAGAGGTCGCACTAGGAGTCCGAGAATGATACCGGGGTGGTCGGGAAGGGTATGATGGATCAGGCGGGTTCGAGTCGTAAACGAAAGTCTCGTCGGAGTCCGAAACATCAGCCTCATCTACTGCATTGGCCACTCTAGCCTCAAAGATGTCTGCTTTGCTTGTCACGGGGCCTGTTGTAAGAAGGGAATTGGGTCGACGGTTCTTTTTCTTTTCTTTGCGCGGACGAATCGTCTCATTGGAAGGTTTCATGCGAAGTGTACCCTGATCTGAGCGGGAAGCGCTGCCTCGCTCACTATTTCCCACTCCCATGGAAACTTGCGGGATCGAACTGACGGTCTCCGTTTCCACAATCATATTGCGAACTGAGCCGTCAGCAGGTTTTCCACGAGCACCAGCACTGAGTGATGTTGTCGATCGCTGTGACATGAGTGTTTTGGGTGGTTTGGCCGCACCAGGCACCTGTGAACGGGCCTCTTCCTTTGGTTCCGAACTCCGATTCTCACCACTGTCACTGCCACTCCCTAAAGTTTGAGGCGGAGCACATGGAGTCGGGTCTTCGTCGATCCGGTGCAATCGTGACTCCTCCGGGATCACCGGCTTGGTAGGAGTGTCACTGGACGGGGTAGAGGGATTGCTTGCCATCTCTTCAACTGTTTCTAGGGAGGGCCCTTGCCCACTGACGCCTCTAGCGACAGTCCGGGTAGTATTTCGGTCCGGTTTGGGTGTAAAATCCTCCAACGGCAATGAAGATCTTTTATGCGACGTATTCGGAAGGGTCGAATCCAGCTCCGTGCGACGGTTCGCGGCCCATGATGGCATATTGGACTTTTCCGGACCGGGAACATTGGCCAAGTCGATAGGAGGGGAGAGAAGAAGGGATCTGACAGGAGAAGACGAGGAACGTTGAAGATTCGGTGCTGGTGAGTTTGTAGGTGGGCCAGATGCCAAGCCGTTGGAGCGTCGGGTCGGACTGGATTGGTCTTGGCTAGTCTTCCGTGAGAGTGAAGATACCCGGCTGGGCGAAGAAGGATTGTAGGTTCGTGAGGAGTGTCGGACCGGGGAGGGTTCGCGGGAGGAAACAGCGGAGTTCGTAGTAGACGTGGTAGCGGAAGCGGCAGGAGGATTAGGAAAAAGTTTAGGGACCTGAGACATGGGTTGAGTTTGGGATGCAACGATGGATTGTTCCATCATGTCATTTTCGCTGGTCGATCGATGCACAAGGTCCGACGCCGCCTCTACGTCCTTCGATGCTCTGGATCTACCAGAGGTGCCGTTAAGGTGAGGCGGCCTCTCGGACTCCGCAGCCATGGTCCCTGTCGAGTCAGAATGGACTGGCACGACGTAGACAAGTCAGGAGACCCGAGAGGTAGCCAGGTAGTTGGGCAGACACAGGGCCCAAAAAAAAAAAAAAAGGTAAGCAGAAAAAGCAAGGCACGGCACCCAGACAGGGAAAGCTTGACGGTGAAGAAGTGAGTTGTTGTTGGTAAGAGCGAATGAGATATCACGAGGATCGAATGGGATGTTGCGCAGAATACGGGTCGTTACACATGCGAGGGTACAACAGAACGAATAGCCGATGACCACATGCTGTTTGCCGGAAATCGGGATTCTGTACAGAAACGCACAAGTGAAAAATGGCTGCAGCAGGTGCAGGGGTTGGGGAAACTGGAGACAGAGAGAGAGAGATGGAGATTGTTTAGAACACCAAGTGGGCCAGGGGGGTCAGTGTAGCGCAACAAGCCCACACATCACTCTTGTGCCGTTGTACTTTGTTGATCGGGGAAGGACCAAAAAAAAAAAAAAAAAGAAACACCAAGGCCTAGAACGAAGGAATTGAAGATGACGAAGATTTGGCGGATTTAGGACAAATGGAGACCCGCCGATCCGGCTCAACGTTTTTTTTTTGGGGCTTTAGACTTGATTTGATGTTGTTTCGGTTGTAGTGGCGTTGTCTGCCAAACAAGAAGAAGTCGGTGACCAAAAGGTGACCAAAAGGTGAAAAGTGGCTCTGACTTGAGAGGGTCAAGTTGAATGGCAAGAGGCCAATGATTGGGGTCCACGTCAAGGGGGGGTCACTGCAGGGAAGCACACGGAGGTCTAGAAGTCTTGGAATCTGGAAGATCTCGGGAAAGAAGGTGAATGTGTGTAATGTGAATGTTGTAATGTGTAATTAATGTAATTAGTGTAATCAAAGGAGAGAGAGGGAGAAGTTGAAAAGGTTGAAATTGAAGAGAAGAAGAGAAATGCAGTTTTGTATTCGTTGACCAGTTAGGGGACCCCAAAATTGGTAATAAACAGTAATAATAGGTAATAATAGGTAATAAATGGAAATAAAACGTACAGCGTGCAGGAAATAATTAGGAAATAATTAATTACTCATGTAAGGGAAATACA